AACTATAAAGTAAGATTAAATTACAAATTAATTTGAAGTTGTGTATGGATAACCCTTGAAACACTAAACTTAAATCTATTGTTTATACAATTCACAAGACCATATTTGTCAGTTACAGTTCTGACACCAGTTTGTCAGTTATCATAAATGCAACAAAAATAGATTCTTTAATCATTGTTACTTCAAAATTTACCTAAAACTATTACACGGTTTCCTAAAATACTCTACTTGAGTGTAAATCTACTTAGATAAACAGGTATATTTACATCATTTAAGTTACAGAAAAACTTCTTTCAAAATAGAAAAACAAATACAAGATCCAATATTTAAAGACTCTGCTTCCTTTTTTTACAGGTGTGTAGGGCAACAACCCCTGGCAAGATTCCATGGGTGCAGGATATTTAGTTAGCTAGATCATTTTAGTTTTACAAGCAAACAAAGAAAAAAACTATTTATTCATCTATACAGTAAGACTTTACTCATCTATCAATATAATAACCCACAGTTTGGTTTTAGTGGCTCACTTTATTGCTCAGTTCACAGAATCACATGTTAACAAAGCTTACTATTTATTTCCCAAAACATTATCAAGTTAACTATACCTGATGCCTATTTTCTTCATAAAATGACCACAGTTTTAGATAGTTATTGAAAAATTACAACTAACACCACTTAATTGCTAAGGTTAATAGAGAATGACTATGTTAACCATTACTGACACCCAACAGCCAGCTACATGAATAAAACTACCAAGATATCTACCTGAGACAACAGATATGTGTAGCTACATCAAACCAAATTAGTTTTGTAATGCTGAACCAGGTTTGGTTTTCTATAGACTTATCTCATAATTCACAAAGTTTTAAGATACAATATATATATCTAAAAGTTACTACAAATAGTACTGTATTATTTTACATAAACATTCCTAAACACACTGTGTAACTAACATTTCCACAATGTTCTAAAGAAGAGTGTAAAGTAACAGTCATAAGCATTATCATATGGCTGAGACAATGCAATCAAATGAAGGTAATATTTAAATATAAGAATCTATATTATAAAAACTGAGAGCTCTTGAAGAGGTTATTTGAGAACTCTACTTATTTTGAGTATTGTACCTGCAAGGGTTATATTAAGTAGAAAAATGAAATTTTTTGAAAGCATTTGTGATACAGGGAGAGAAGCAATCAGAAAGGAGGAAGAAACAAGTTTTATCCTTAAGTACTACTAATAAAGATTTATCTTACCAATCCTATCATTTGTTTTAAGACTTGACCATCTCTGTCTTGTTGTTTGCAACAGTTAATGTCAGTTAAACATTTTTACCTAGATGTAGCAACAAACGGGGTTTAGCTGTTCCATTTCAACAGAGGCCAAAAGTTGTTTTAATCAACACTGTAGTTGACCATATTCTCAGCAGTTTACATGATGTGAGACAAACTTTATGTAAATAAGAAAACCAATTCTGACCAATTACAAAATTAGATGGAAAATTGAAGGTAAGTATCATCCATTGTTCAGTTGTAAATAAAGGTGAGGAAAGGAAACCAATGTCAACAAGTGTTATCCACTCATACTTCAATATTTGTTGGATGTCTCTTTATGAGTATAAATTACACAAAACTGAAGTAATGGCTGAAATTCCTTTGCACCAAAATATGAAGAAAATAGACTGTCATGACTGTATAAATGAGCAGTTACAGGCAAGAATTCTCAAAAATATAGTGACCCTCTTGTAAACAATTCTATGCCTTTGAAAATATTTCAAGAATCATTTTGGATCATATTTTATTAATGTAATAAGTTACATTTTCTTAATGAAACCCATGCATAAAATGACCAAATTAACCACTACTAACACACAATAGCTAGCTACAAATAAATAATACTACCATAGAAAGTACAGGTAAAATTAAAGCACTAACACTAAAAAACTAGCTCTTAACTCTCTCAACAGATTCGGTCAATTTGACTGACAACATGACTTCCTTGTACTCGATTAAAGTCATTATAGATTTAATATTTCTAACTTTCAATATAGTGTGTATATCTTCACAAAATTTGGCAGTCTTTCAGTTCATATTATAAGTCTTTTATATACAAAAAATCATATTTTTCAGTGAAATATTTTTAATAAAGAATAAAGATTTGTCCATTAATGTACTGAGTATTTGTTTTGAATAGTCCGTGTGCAAAGTAATTTTCATCTTAAAATTAAAAATACTTTTCCTCATCTCAAAAATCTCAAATTTTCTTTGTAATCCCTAAAGCCTTCTATATGCATTTCAAACATTTTGCTTCAGAAAAACTTTGTAGTCTATCTGTTATTTTCTATACCCTATCTCAAAATGGGATCGATCAATTTGACTGACCTTGAAACAACCAAAAAAAATTGAAATAAACCTAGATTACCCTTTTTTTTCTTTCTAGAATGACTTCAAATTGTAACATGAAATTACATTCATTTATCCTAAGTAGCTCTAAGTTCATAACAGTATACATCTATTTATAATTAAATTTTATTGTTTCATTGCCCTTTGAGCCATGTCTAACTACTATCTGTGCCATTAGAAGCTGTAAATCACTTGGGGAACATGCAGCTCACATGTGTGCCTT